TAGTAGTGGAGAAGGGATGCTCTTGACATGGGAGATCCTAACAATATCGTGACTCACTGTTCTAGTTGGGAGCTGGCATTGTATCCTACCACTACAATTAAAAGTGTAGACAAACTTGATTTAAAAAAAAATAATTCTAGAAAATAGAATATAAAGGCCTTTGTCCATAAATTGCTATATTCTGACTATGGGTGATTAAGTAAAAATGAATAATATTAACAGTTTTAAGCTAGGTGCTAGTAAAATGAATGTAAGTAGATCTATTTGATGAATTCAATTAACATAATAATGGCAAAAATAGTAGGCATTTTTTTATTACCATGAAAATGTCATGCATTGTAAGTATTACGCTTAACTACATTTATGGTTAAAAATAGCTTTTGCAATTAGGATTTTTGAATAGTTATGTTCTATTCTATTCATGCTGAGTTTTGTTGTTTTCCTGACACATAAAACTGTAATATTTTGACAGGATCTTTCCTTTTCAGATTACAGGCCTGATAATAATTTCCATAAAAGAGAATTATGCTTTTAAATAAAAACCAAGTTTTTAATTCAGATTTTAGAAAAGATGCTCACTAAGCTGGAAATCAAAAGTAATCAATACTGTATTTCAGTACAAAAATAAATCACTTGGCACATGTTGTGTGGATGCGTTTGTTGCTGTCCCTGTCCGGTGTTACACTCCTGAGGAGATGGGAAATGAATATTTGGTGTGACCGAATGTGCTTTATGTATTCACTCGCAGGTATTCACTCTCCAATCAGCTGAGAATAATGGCACATATATGTCAGTATTACAGGTTGTCGCATAGTGAGTTTAGTCCTGTAGTTAGTGATGCTTTCAAACACTGTCAACTTGTAAGTGGTTTGAAGCACAAACAGACATCATGTGAGTGCAGTTAAATGAGAATGGTAGTGTTTGGTGAATGTACTTGGATATATTTAGCACTAATCTACAAAGTGTTGACTTTGGAGTAGTGTTCAAATGCAAATGAATTATTCATTGCAGTGTCTCAGTGTAACCATTTTTACCAAGGGGAAAACAAAGGTTAAGTCACATGCACAGTGCATCCCGGTGACCCTACAATGGATGGCACCCACTGGTAACCAGGCACACAGTTTCCAGCAGGAGCAAGGTGGGGGTGGAGGCATTGGTATCTCTGCAGCCACCACAGAAGCCGTGGTCAGCTGCTACTTGAAACTGCGGTGACTTAGTCTTCGGTTCAGATCTTCTTGACAGATGTCTCCAGGCAGATGGCAGCTCTCAGAAGATGATACCAGTGATTAAAAATAACGTAGTGCAGTAAAATGCCTTCTTTTATTTGAGGATCACCGTAGTAGAGCTTTTTGGATAAGATCAGGATAGGTACTGAATCTCATTTTCTTTCTTTTCAATACAAGTTTTTAAGGTTTCATCTCTTAGATGAAAAAGTGGAGAGAAGGCTGTTTGTGCTTCCTTCTGGATTGATTTTATTATTTAAATCATAATGGAAATAGTTTACTGTTTTAGTTAATCTTCTGTTTTGTTTTTTTTTAGATGTTCTTAATGTAGAGCTGAGAGCTGCACTTTTTGTAATGCTTGATGCTCAGCTTAGTCTTTTTCTTAAAGTATTGCTGACATTCCTTCTCTTTCTCTTATTTCTAGTAATCTGTTTTCAGGGTGTTTTCTGATCTAAAATGTATTTTGGGGACTTTTTGTTCCTTTCATAGTAATCTGAATCTATTCCTACTGTTTGCATTCTCAGTGGTGTTCATTTGCAGCTTTTCCTCTGCCTCATGCAATTCTTTCTGTATCAAACATGTCTTTGGCACCAGTTAGAGGCAAATTATTAAAGGAATAAAAATAGATACACAGAAATCTCTTGCAGAATTTTTCAGGTTGGCTGCTTGAAGGCAGACATGGCCATCCCCACGTGTGATGGTTTTCAGAGGTGCTGACCTCCAGGAAGGCAGTGGAGCTGCCGGTGATCTGCACCTCCCCGCAGCGCTTCATTTTCAACCCTGACTTTAGCACACTAATGCCGGAGCTTTCAACTGTTGCTCCTTGAGAAGAAAATAAATAGCTTCTACAGGAATGCTCATTTGCTTTGCCAGTGGCTGGGGGTTTTGTTTAAATGGTTCTGAAGCCACCTTGAAAGTCTCACTGAATCATTATGAACTATTTCTGGATAGCTGTGGCATTTACCTTGTGGGTACACATCACTTCTGTAGCCTTGCTCCTAAAGCATCTGTCCTGCCTTCATCTCAGGACGGTGATTCGGGCGCTTCCTGTGAGGAAGATTGGACTTGCACCTCTTGGCAGGAAAGGCTGACAGTGTGTCCACATCCGTGTTTTAATTTGGGCCATTTCCAAAGCAGAATCTCCCACTTGTCCCCAGGTGCAGGGCTTTGTGCAGAGCAGGGACCAGTTCTGGAGTGCATATGCTGGATTTCTTTGGGGTGAAAAACATCTGGGAGAGCTCTCAGGAGAAGGTCTGCTCTGCCTCAGTCGCTGATTGGTGTTTAGCCCAGGGGACCTGCTCAGAGCCAGTCCCAAGTGAGCAGACCTCCTCACCCCGCACACTTCAAACAGACAAAAAAACCTGAAATGCACATGGTGTGCGTATCTAGTCTCCAGTACCAACTGTGCTCTCTGTGGTATGATCCCGTTTACGCTGCAGAGCCAAGATGTGCGTGACAGATAAGGAGTCTCAAATGCCAAGAGAGATTATGTGGTGCTTAGCGCTTCACTAACGGTGCTGAAAAACAGATTTTTTTGGTGCATCTTTGTAACAGTTGGTGCCGAACCTTACAGAAATATTTTTTAAACTGAAACCTTTATGTTAAAATGTGCAAAAGAAACCCCCCATCTTTGTCTTTGCAAGGTCTATTGTTGAAAGTATTTCTGCAGTGCTCCTATTTGAATATATGACTTGTGTATGCAGCTGGTATGGTATATGACATTGAGGGTGCTAGCATATGATCATAACTAAACAAAATATCTGCAAATACATTAGCAACCAGTTGTAAAACTGTGCTTGAGCCATTGGACCAGCATCACAAAACAAATCTGTTGCAGCCTTAATTCTGTGGAGTTTTTAAACTCCTGATTTAAAAACTTTAATTTTTCCCTTTAGAGTGTGTATGATTTTAAGAAATACACTTTGTATCAGAAAATCATTCCAATGATTCTGCAACATTGTCCTTTACTGCCTTATATTTATTAACAATAAAAACTTATTGCTTTCAAAATATTAACGTGATCCAGCCCTTTAGATTGAGAGCCTTCAGAAACTTAAGGCAGCATCCCCTTTCTCCTCCATAATTGTTGCCTATGGAGTTATATCTGAATGACCAATAATCTGTTAAATATCTAATTGATTACAAGTACTTCATGTATCTTGAAGGTAATCTGTTTTTGGACACAGTGCGTGTTTACTGGTTTTAATTGCATGTGTCAGAAGTCTAATATGAGAAGTACCTCAGATGGCACATTTACTCCAGATACAACAAAAAATTCATTGACATTGAGCCTCAGATTCCTTTCACCTAAGACAGGAAGCTGCTCCACCATCACAACTTGAAAAAAAGCAAATTTGAGCAATCCAGTTTTGATGAAAGGTGGGATACAGACTAGTAGGTCAGCTGGAGGGGTCAGAGAGATGCTGCAGTAAGCCTGTCCCAACACACATATTTTTGGATATGATATAATACTTCTAGCTTTTTGAAGAGAACAAAAGAGAGAGCATCTATCTGAGGAGAATGTTAGAAGAAAAATAGATAGAGCTTAAGATATTTACCAGTCTTCTAACTGATGTTTGATAGACCTGCGGGAATATCAGTAGACAAGAGAGAATGCCAAGGCCAAATTTAGGTCACCGAATGGACCATGGAGCTTCAGAAGCGCAGGACAAGGGTCCATCCTTCTCTGGAGATGTTTTATTCCTGTGAATCAGCAGTTTAGTCTGAAATGTTTCCAGGAATAAAATCTTTTATTTGTAATGTGATTTTTAATAAGAGGTAAGGGTAGAGTGACAGTTCTCGTGCCTGTTACTTTTGCTGACATTGTACACGGCGAATGCTCCCCAAGCTGTGTGCAGCGTATCTGCTCCAGTGGAGACCATGCGCAGCCATACCACAGGTGAACTGGAACGGTTTACTTGGACAGATGAATTTTTCCAGTCCCAATGACTCTTAGAGCGTTTCAAACATGTCAGATTTTACTCCAGTGGAAGTCAGGTTTTTATGCCTCAGAATATTTAACCTCAAATAAGGAAACATATCACTTTGTAATTAAAAAAAAAATCTAGAAGGTAATAAATGGGTTTAGGTTGAAAAATTACTCTTGCATAATTGCTTCTTTAACACTGTCATGGACATGGGAAGTATTTATATGAACTGTGCTGAGCTCCTTCTGCAGGAAGGTCACATCTTACAGCCGGAGTAGCAGAATGCCCATTCTGTGCCCATTGCTGCTGAGCGAGCTTCAGGGTATGCAGGGCCTATGGCAGCTCTCACAGACTGCAAAATTTTGTGCTTAATATATAGATATACTGATGTTTATAGTGTTCTGTGTTTACAGTGTTCATTCTCATGTTGCGTGTTTTAATGTTTCTTCTTCGATTAATTGTGCTGAATTTTCTTTTCACCTGTCAGTGGGGAGAACTCATCTGTTCTGCACTACGGCCATGCTGGAGCCCCAAATGATAAGACTATTGAAGACGGAGACTTGTGGTAAGTAATAGAGTTCGTGTGGTATTTTTGCTACGCTACTGCTGTTTCTAGATGTATGTTGTACTCTTGGCCTTAATTAGTAAAGTGCTGACTGCATAAAGATAAGAGTTTAAATCTTTAAAATAGCATGTAATGCTGCATGTCAGACTGGTTGGGTTTCTTACAAAGGTCCTGTATACCTGCATCTCCAGTTGAAGGGAAAAGGGAGATTGTTTTCAAACAATTCTGTGCCAAGAGCACTTGTAATTTAGTTTAAGAAATGGCTGTATTCTAAGTATAAAGGCAGTTTCAAAAATTGGAATCTGAGTTTGCTCTTGAACCTCAGATCCAAACCTCAGCTTTGATAGGGGGTCTGGAGGTTCAAGGTGTTTGCTATTTTTAAAGAATTACATCAAATTGCAATATGGATTAGATCTTCCAAAAGCCTGTGTGCACCCAGACACCCCAGCCTGAAAGTAGACTTCTGAATGTGTGAGGAGGAGAGGAAACCCATCTCAGTTCAGGTCAGGGCAGGGTGCTTCTAGTTCTGTATCATGCCAAAAATTTCTAAAAATTGTTTCTAAAAATATTTTCCTTAGAGGTTAGCATTGCCATAATGTAGTTACAAATGCCGTAAATTTTTCTCCACTTGCATTACATGTCCACATGCTTTTCAGTATCACTGCTGGTAAAAGCAGGCTGAATGAAAGCACCAAATACATCACTATAAATTGAAACACAAACCTAATTGTGTGGTGTGTAGCATAGCAGAATATAGCTTTTATACTTCATCTTCTAAGATTTGGATCAAAAAGCCTGCATTTATAAAAGAGCAGAATTAGTTTTAGAGGAGTTAATCACTGACATTGAGTGGAGGACATGTAAGACTACTTTTGTGGCGTGTTCCAAAAGGGCGCAGGTATGTATCTTCACAGTTGAATGTAAAGGTGTGGAGGAAAGCAAATAAGTATTATAGATAAGCTTAAAAGCTATTATGGAAAACAAATTGAATCTCGGAACTGAAAAAATATGCCTTGTTGGCTAGTGTTCTGGGCACATCTGCAGGTGCTGCAGAATGCACTCACTGAATCACAGATAGGTAGTTTCTTTTCAATACTTTAAAAACTTTTTTAAAAGCTCCTTGTACAAACGTTTATGTATTATCTTCATCTGGGCTGAATAGTGTACTAGACCCATCAAATGCTAATGTTAATTTATTGCAGAACAATAGCTTTGACTTATAAAAACTTGTACAAACGTTTATGTACAAACTTGTCCTTGTACAAACGTTTATGTATTATCTTCATCTGGGCTGAATAGTGTACTAGACCCATCAAATGCTAATGTTAATTTATTGCAGAACAATAGCTTTGACTTATGATCACATTGTGTTTGAGTAGATAATATGCTGCAAAGCTTTCTTGATCAGGCAGGACACACCAACATGATACTGTGTTGGCTGTGGCACTTGACAGGATTTTCAAAAAAGTGTGTTGCCTACAGGAAATCTCAGCATATGTTACTGAGATGTGCCACAATGCATTATGAGGTCCTGTATTTAAAATTAAGGCCTTTAAAAAGTGAGGGGAACAGTGTTACTGGGAGACCTCAGGGTGAGGGGTATATATAGGACCCTTTTACTTACAGTCTCTGATGATAGTTTAGTGGACGGCTGAAGTCCTTCCTAAACCCCGAGAGCAAGTACCGAGACTCTTGGCAAACTCAGGTTTCCCGCTGTATGGGTGAAATCTTAAAAAGATGCTTGGGTTTTATTAGCCTCAGATACCTGAGTGTCAGAAAAGTATAATCTACCAAGTACATTGATTGCTTAAGCATTTCAAAACTACTGTACTGCAACCTCACTTTGTTACCATCTCAAGGAAGAGAACAAGGATTAACCTAGTTTGAAATATCTTGCTGAAACAGTCCAGTTGCATCTTTGTCTTGATGAGATGAAGTTTGTCAGTCTCTGCCTTTGCCTCTCCCACTGGCTGATACACATGTTGCAGTCAAAATTTGCTCCACATGATTTTCTTAGTGTTTCTCTCAAGTGGGAGTAAAGAAATGATACAGAAATGTAATTTCATTTGTGTAAAGACAATTTAAAAACACACTAATTTTCCACAATTAAAAATAGTGTTTTGGAAAAAATCTTGAGCTAATGTACTTTAGCAGCATATGAATTATGACAAGGCACTACCTGGGTGGTTTTACTGTGTGCTTTTACAAATTTGTGAAGTGTGTGTAGGTGCACGTGTGAGTGCATACAGAACAGGTTATTAAAATGACAGTATGCTTATTTGTATGTATATGGTAGTGTTCGTGTATTTGGCTCCCAATTAAGCTTTTTAATAGCTGCTGGGAGCCCTCTGTTGGATAATCTTAGGAAGCCCTGAACATAAGGAGAAAAAGGCTTTACTTTTGGTGAAAGAGAGGAAGAAGTGTTTTCAGGGTTATTTCTGCTTCTGACAGTATTTTGGTATAAATCCAATTTAACAATTCCCATGCTTGTATGTATTAGAATTGGAAGATGGGGTACTTGGTATGATTTTTATTAAATTATTCAGTAGAATTTCGTGTCTTTTTCTTAACATTATTTAGTGGATGCGAATAACATTCACGAGTTTTGCAGAGATGTGCTGCTGCTGCTGCTCTGGTTTTTTATGTACAAGGCAGTATCAGTAAATAAGTCAACAAAGCGCCTGAATGTTAGAAAAAAATACATCTGAAAAACTAATGCTTTGCATCTTTGAAACACTCAAGTGCATACTTTGTTTGCTTTTCAAAAGTAAAAATCACAAGGATTTGGTGGTATCAACAGGAGATCATAGGTAAAAATACTTGAACTATTGCGTTTTCAATCTTTTTTTAAGACTGTTATTCTGACTTCTCCTTTAAAAACTGTCAGAACAGCCTCATTTTATGATGTTCATTTTTGTAAATTAATCTACATCAAAGGGGTTTATTGCTTCTCTAAGAGACTGATATAGAATTATATCTCTGATACCGCATCATAATCCACATTTTTACAGGTACAGCTTCAGTGCTAAAAGATCTCAGTGCAAGAAAAGGACTGTAAGGACAATTTCTGACAGTTCTTGTTATTATGAGCTGTGCTGCTAAGTGGAGCTGTCATTTTCAGTCTATTAAATATGAAAAAAATAGCTAACGCAAAACATTATGATCGACATAGAAGGAAATCAATATTTTTAGGGAAGTTTGTGTATTCAGGACATACACACACTTAACTGATACTGATACTAGAAGTAAATATTGTAATAACAGCAAGTCAGTGTTTTATATAAATAATTCATGTACCGGAACATCAATGTGGTGAACATTTAAATTGTGTTATCAATATGGTCTAAACCAAACACTTTCGCTAAGCAAATGTCTGTTGTCTCCATAGTCAAGAAGGGTCGTATGGTCTAAACCAAACACTTTGGCTAAGCAAGTGTCTGTTGTCTCCATAGTCAAGAAGGGTCAGGCAGACAAATGGGTAGGCTGACCACCCTTGTGAATTGCAGTTCTAGGCACGACCTTTTCACTTGATATGACCTTTAAATAAAATCTTCTACTCGCAATGTTGCAAATCACAGCCTGCAGTGATGATGTAAGGCCAGGCTCACATACGAATACTTATTTTCTTCTGTCATCTTAAACCTGTGACAGTTGGGATAGAAACTGAGCCCTAGACTGAAATTGACTGCATCATCCCAAGGTATTGCATTACTCATTGTGTGCAAGACGCCTGCCATTTCCATAGGGAGGCTGTAACTACATTTTGTAATATGGAAAGTGGATTCATAAGCAGGAGTGTTTGTTGTAATTTGCAGTCTCCTGCCCTGTATGTGAGAGGCCTCCATTAAGACCAAAGCCAGAAAGTAACCAAACCAAATTTTCCAGGGATTTTTGAGCCACCCTGCCAACCTTCTGAGTCCAGTTTGGATAATCAAAGGTCTTTCAGAGTTTGGTGGGAAGTAGAATGATACTAAAAGTTGCTACTCAAGACAGAAAAAAGCCCCAAAACCAACAGACAGATCCAAGGACCAGAGACCTCACTCCCTGCTACGCGTAGATCAAGAGTAAATGAGCACCTGGGGCTCCTGTCCACTCGTTCTTCCTGGGCAAGTGTCTCATGATCTCTTTTTTTTTTGCACCTGTTCTGCTTTCGTTCAAACCTGGGGAAAGAGATTGGTTCAGTGGCTAGAGAGCCCTCGTGGAACACAGAAGCCTCTGGTTTCAGCTCTCAAATTGATCTCTGACTTCAGCTGGAAGTTATGACTTGACCCTGGGAAATGGAATCTGTGAAACGTTCACTCAAAGCCAGTGTGTTTCTGTGAAAAGCATTAGTCTCAACAAACCAACATCTGCTTTCTTGAAAATGAAGGAAGCGAATCCCCTTTGGTCTTTCTTCTGCGTCTGCCCCACCAGTGTTGCGGCATGGAGGAACACCGTGGCTCTAGGGGAAGGAGAAGACTGGCTATCAAAAGAGATAGGGTGCGGCAGAGGAAGCCTGGGGCAAAGCAAGCGTCTCTTCTCGCCTTTGTGGTTCAATGGTTTGTTGTAGGAACCATCAGAGGTGTGCTGAACCTGAAGTGTGTAATTTACAATTTGATTTTAAGGAGGTATTCAGGAAAATTATAATTTATTGCATTCTATTTGCTGCCTAGCGGTTCGTGCAGCCTGCCTTTGTGGATTCCTGGCATTGCCGCGCGCCAAAGGCACATCAGTTGATTGTTTTATTGCAATTGATCAGCAGGGTTCCTGCAATGTTTGACAAACAGAAAATGCTTCTATGATCTTAAAATAAAGATTGATTCTTCGTGATGAGGCTCACACTTAAATAATAGAAGTGTGAGAAAATAAGCCTGACCCCAGATGTCACTGAAATAGATACAGCTATTACCTGAGATGGTTTTCTGCAGGTGTCACGAGTTGCAGGTCTTGGTCTTTTTATGGCATCTGACAAATGTATCTCAGTGAAAATTCAGCACTTAGTGAGCAACTTTTATTAGCAG